TGTGTTTTCCAGTTTAGTTTGTTATCTACAGTGACGCCGAGGAGCTTGGAGGAGTCCACAACCTGGGGTGTGTTGGGCTCAAAGTAATGGAAGGAGGTGGGACAAGGTCAGAGGAGAGGTTGTTATGCATAACCATGGTCTTGGTATGGTTGATGGTGACATGGTTGTTGGTGGCCCAATTTTGTTGACTGTTCAATATATTCTGGAGGGTGGTGTAGGCGGGAGCCGAGCTGTTGACACTGATCCCAATGGTGGATTCGACATATTTCCATATTTCCATCATTGATAAGCATGAGGAAGTAGATCGGTCCCATCTTGGTGCCTTGGGAGTCGGTCACTAAGGAAGTCTGTAAGCTATAGTATAAGACTTCTCCGAAACCCGAGGTCAATAGCTAAATTGGTCATTAAAGAGAGGGTACTTGTAGTTTAACTGTGATGAACGTAACTACTCCTAGCAGCTGATGACGGCGTCTGTTGCCACCATGTACCAATATGAACGAGGCAGTGTTTGTATGCCTATATGTGAAAGCGTGTGTTTGGTTGTATGTTCCAGTCTGTACCTGAGTGTGTGTGTGTGTGTGTGTGTGTGTGTGTGTGTGTGTGTCGTATTTTCTCAGCTTTCTCTCTTTCTCTAAAAATAATCAGTTTCTGCTTCCTGTTTCAATGTATTTCCATTTTAGTTTTAATTTTCCCTGTGTCATTTACAACATCAATATCAGGTTCAGTTTCAACAGATGTACAGTAAGGCGCGTCAGTAGTTGGTACAGGTAGACAGCTGCAGGTGTTCCCAGCCTCACACATCTCGCCAGGTCACAAGGAGGAGGTAATGAACAGGTAGTTTCTATCCGCTTTGATCATTAAGACGTTGGTGCCTCTGCTGGCCATCCAGTTTTTAGGATATTATATTTTTTTCTTTTGCAAAATTATGGTGATATATATAGGCATGTGTATACTATATATCAATACGTGTAGCTTGATAGTCTGCTATATGATTTATATTAGTAACACGTATAAGTAGTTTTGTATTCTAATATTATGCAAATTGATGAATGGGAGAGTGAAGGTTGAGGTGCGGTGGCCGAGGAAATCTAACGCTCGCTTCCTGTTCTAAGGGTCGTTGGTTCGTGCTCAGGGGATCCGCGGTTCATCCATCCATCTGTGAATGGGTACATAACTTTCTAGTTCGGAGAAATGAAGGCTACTGAGTGTAGTGCCGGTCTCACCACCTACTTGGGTACCGAAGACACAGTGTTCTGTATTCACAATGCCACTCATGAGCCGTCAAGCAGATGGGTTCCAATTTTATTTTTAAAGCGAGAAGATTTGTGTTGGTATCAGTTGTGCAGCAGCAGAAATGTGTTGGGTAAAGTAGACACATTTACTGATGATATACATGAAAATAAACGAATTCATTGTAAGAGAACGCACTAGACAGATGAACATGTGCTGCCACTGGGTAATGCCGGGACGGATAGTATCTTTACCAACGGGTCCGATGAATTTGAGACGTGTTTTGTTACCTTTAACTGAGTGGTGGTGAAAGTAGGACCGTCTCACTGAGCACTAAACCTCAGTACACAAGGAGGAAGTGTAGTCGGCATTATACCAAACCGCCTTCACTTCCTCAACTAGATTCAGGTACTCATTCACAACTGAGTGTACTGTACAGATCAAAAGTAGTATGTGAGACCGGTGTGGGTCAGAGGTAGGACATGGGATTAATTCTGTCGTCTATGCCATTGAGTGGTAGTGGGAGTAAATAAAAAGGCATTAAAGAAGCAGAGATGAAGCAGTACAGAAGATATTCACTGTTTATCTGATTTCATGTCAATTTGCTGAATCTTTCTCAAGTTACTGAATGGGAGTATTATTTTGTACAGACAGACAGACAGACAGGCAGACAGACAGAAAAACAGAAAGGAATATACGTCCCCTCCTCTTTCCCCCTTCCTACTTCGTTGATTCCCTCCCCTCCCCGCCCCTCTCATCCCCCCCACTCCCTTGAAAACTGTAGAGGACATCACACAGGACAGGATTGTATGAGTGAGATTGTTGACGAAATTATTCTTAAGTTTATCCCTTGGTGTGACTTAGGATCAAGCGTCTTTGGGTTTTGGGTTGGGTTTGGTTAGACTAGACTAGAAAATAGAGAAAGGGAACTAAATAGAACAATAAAAAGAAATGGGAAGCAAGAGACAGGGAAAGGAGATATCTCAAGGCACTAACCTTGTAGATAAAACACTCGAGGCTAATGCATTATTATCATGTCGACCCGTGGAGAAAGGAAGGTGTGGGAGGCTGAAAAGTTTAAGGTCAACCTCCAGCTTTTCTCATCAGTGTTGTTGTAACGCTTCATCAGGTGGGTGACACAACACTAGCTTATATGTAATATCAGTTTTCATGTAAGTGTGTGAAAAGTTTCCTTAAGTAGTGCCCGAGGAGTGAGTGTCTTTAGGAGAAACTTAGGCAGAGACAGTTAAAGTTGCTTCAATATAGGTACGGTTGAATATTTTTCCAACATCTGTACGGTATATTAAATTGATCTCTGGGTATTAAACTTAAAAATTATAAACAAAAATAACTGATGTCGAAGAACTCTTAACCATACGCTCCTCGTGACTGTTGAAGGGTGACTGACCATATTGACCACACAAATGACACAGGTCATATCCACAGTCTCCTTAAGGATTTTATTATACTCTAAAAGGGCGAGCTTGGTCACCCTCGACTGTGGCGCCACCAAGCCTTGACGTTACAGTGTTGACAAGAAGCAAGATTTGGGATGATGCTCAAGAGGAGTTGAAAAAATAACATGAAAGGAGAGAAGCCTGGATGAAGAAGCCTGAATAAAAACAAATTCTCTTCACACACACATACTCACTCTCTCTCTCTCTCTCTCTCTCTCTCTTTTTTTTTTTTAAGGTATCATAAATAAGAAATAGCATTGCAGGAGGTCTCTCTTTTATTGTCTAAAAAAACATATGTACAAGAACTCCCTAATCCCGTTAATCTCACTGCATGAGAATTCTCCATCAGAATGTCAGATCTCTCGGGTCTTTTCTGACAACATTTAACATTATAACTCAATTCAGTCTGTCGGAGCTTATATTTCTGGCTCTATAATTTATGTCTGTTTTTTTTAATTTATTCTATACTAAACAAATTGCAAAATATTTTCACGGCCAGTATAATCGTGTCCAGATATCGAGTTTATTTCATTTTTTTTTTTTTCGAATTTTAATCTTACAAATTCTGCGTTAGAAAAGAATAAACTCGGTGTTTTCTTTCCTCTGGGCAACACACACACAATGGAATAAATGTTCACATCGTCTTTTTTTTTAATATTTCTCAGTCAAACGTATATTTTCTTTTTTCCTTGTCTGTTTTTTCCCCGGTAAAGACAGGTCCTGTGTTTCCCTCTGAGATACGTTCATTTCATTTCCGTTCGTCTGTTATCATTTCCAAACGACTAGAACTCATTTTCAATCGGTTAGATTTTATTCCCAGCAGCCTATCAGAGCTCATTTCCAGTGAATCAGAGCTCATTTCCAGTGTATCAGAGCTTATTTCCCGTGTATCAGAGCTAATTTTCATTGTATCAGAGCTTATTTCCGGTGTATCAGAGCTCATTTCCAGTGAATCAGAGCTCATTTCCAGTGTATCAGAGCTTATTTCCCGTGTATCAGAGCTTTTTCATTTATCAGAGCTTGTATCAGAGCTTATTTCCAGAGCTGTATCAGAGCTTATATCAGTAATCAGAGCTCATCATTGTATCCTGTGTATCAGAGCTTTTTCATCAGAGCTTTACAGAGCTTAATTGCTTGTAGGATCCACATCCCTTCTTTTTTTCAGTTTACACAAAGTCTCTCTCTTTCTGCACAGTCAGGATCACTGTCAATCGATAAACGAGCTTACTATTGCTGGAACGACTTGTGAGCCAATCAGAATTCATTATTTCTCAACCACTCAGAAATCATCTCTAGTTCATCTCCCTGTATACTTTCGTTCACTGTCTTAGCAGAAGTTAATGTTACTCACAGTTAATTGGAATTCATTTCTAATCAACTAGATTATTTTCCAATCGACTACGTTGAATTTTCACTAGATTTCGAGATCATTTTCGTTCACTATCTGGTCACTTTCACCCAGAGGTCTAGTTAGAGATTAATAAAGAAAATCATTCCCTTCGTCTCAGTCTAAAATTAATTACTTTTTTTCTGAGCTTCTGTTGATCAATATTTAGAGGTGACGAACGTTTACTCACAGAAGACTCGTATAGCTCCTGGTGCTCATACAAGGCTCATGTGTGTATTTCTTTCACTCTCTCACACAACTCATAATTCTGAGTATATTTCTGACCCTTGATACCAAATGAAATCATAAATATTCATGACTATTTACAAACTCAAGAATGTCTTTGATATTAGAGTAAACAAAATTTCATATCTGAATATTGACTTCATAATTGGTGTGATTTTGAGGTGACATGATTGATATTCGAAAATATACAAAGAAAATGAATGATTTATTAATGAGTTGATGATTAAATTCCCCCAAATAAGATTTTATTTTATTTTTTTTAATTTTATGATTAAATTTTGAAAACTTAAAACAAAAATAGTTTAGTAAATTTATGACTGAAATAAAAAAAATGCAACTGACCATTGAATTAATAATATATTTGCAAAGAAAAATAGTTCTAATAATAGTTAATGAGCTAATAACTAAAGCTCGATAGCTTTCCCCCTGCAAAGAAAAAATGTGATATACTGTATGTTCAATAATTGTTAAAATGACTAAAAAAGTTAATATTAAACTTTTAAAATTATTGAATAGTATAAACTTCTTGATATTTACTAAAATAGTAAGGAATTTAAGCCCTAAAACCGATTACTGTATTGGCGGACTGATAAAGCTGGTTGCCCAGTCAGTGCAAGCGAAAACATGTTGAGGTCGGTTCGTAAGAAATTCGTTAACCGAATTTTTGTTCGTTAACCGAATTGAAGATCCTTATGGAAGGCAGTTCGTTAACCGAAATTTCGTTAACCGAGGCGTTCGTTAAACGAGGGGTCACTGTATAATGAACCGGTGATCGAATACTTTATACATGGAATCCGTTGGTACATGAACACACTGCACAGTCCTCAAAAAAAAAGTATCGTTTGATTTTCCGTCGCTACAATTTGAAACGCGAGACGTAATGCTTTGCTACCATCCTAGTTTGGTACGGCTACTACCCATATCAGCAACAAGAAACCCATTAAGCTATATTATTGTATGTATCGTAATGGGTAGAAGCAAGGCATATGTAAACAGGCCACTGACTGATTATAGTAACACTGAAATTAAATTAAATGGAAATGTTTCAGAACATTCTCAATATGCTTACTAAAGTTGTTCACGATATATCGGATTTATGAAGTGACTAAGCAAATAGTACTTGATATTAGAGTGAACAGCTACAGCAGTATACAGTTTATCGGTCTACATCAAAATAGGGTTTCAAATCAATGGTCTTACAGGAACAGACCCCCCCCCCCCTCCCCGTCCACTTATTGTAAAACATTTGTGGTTATAAGTATCAGTGTGTCACCAGTTGTATCATGGCGCCTAACCCATCGTGATACCGTGAGTTCGCTCACCCTAGTCCTTCGTGCTGCCTTAAGTATACCCTCGCTGTGACGGTCAATAATAACACCTCTCACTTCTTGCTATGACTCCCCGATATTTCCTCGCTCCATTGTAAATATATATATGATTTGAAGCCTCGGAGGATTCATATCATTCGAAAGCATTATATATACTAATTCATGCTAAAACGTCGCAGATGTAGAACTACCAACCGTTCAGAAACAGGTCGAGTAACATTGCTCGGAAAGCCTCGAATTACGATAATTTTTTTGGAGACTGTACAAGTGGTGAGCCCTGGTCACAAGTGATACATAACTTGTATAATGTTTATACATGATACTCAGGCATGATGTTTGTAGCGTTAACATACTATGGTAATGTTGACTGTTTGTAGTGTTTAATAGGATTAAGTGTTTAATGTCTGAAATGCTCCCAACATTTATATATTGACAATGTTTATAAAAAGCTATAGTACTTAGAGCGGTAATGTTTGTGATGTTTAGGATTTAGAAAATATTTACAATTTTGATTTCATTGATATTATTTACATTTGCAACATATGATAATTAAAGTATTTATAAAATTATATAATTATGCATTTTATCTGTAATATGTTCAATATGTGGAGTGTTAACTATTTTGATTATGTTTAATAATGTTTACACACATAAAAGTCACGATGACCCACAAACTCACAATGCTTGTAATGAGTATAGTGATTAGTATTTTGATTATGTTTATTAATAACTATATACAGTAATCATTAATCACCATCATTCTCGTAAGTAACGCACAGAAGGACACTGGTACGTTAATTGTTTTCTTTTCACCTAAAACAAGAACACGTCCTGTTTACTTTTTGTTTTTTCAAGTAGAGTCGGAAGCTAGAGGAGGCAGATATTACGTTTGAGACAAGTTCTGAACACTTTCATAACACGTTGAAGGAGATCCTCTTGAAACCGGGGAAATAGCGAATAGATTGAGACAGGCTTAAAACAACGACTTGAACACATCACTGGAAAACCTCTTGAACAAAATGGTAGACAACTGGTGGAGACGTCTACATTTCGAACACGTTTAGGACACGTCTAAGACACGTTACACGAGTGTCTCTTGAAGAAAAATTTCTCCTGTTTTTGTTTTTGTGTGTAAGTAGGGAGTGATTTCCTCCTTCTCTCTACGGCCGGACTCAGTTTGTAGCGGACCTGTGAGGGAGAGAGAGACGAGACTTAACTCCAGCAGGAAATTAATGTACAATCAAAGACAAAAATCGTGTCGTGGTTTTGTCCGAAGAATAAATCTAACTCGTGAAACATTATGAGAGCCCTACCACAGTTACATACTCGTGGTTGGCAAGCACCAAAAATTTAACCCTTCAGCATATGTTTTCACCAAATTTCACGACACGACTTTTTTTCTTTCATACATGGCTGTATAATTCACACATTCAGGTTAAGAAATACACAAACACACAGCACCACCATCAAACATGTACCATAATGTTTGTCTAACTAAGATTTTAAGAATATGATCATTATAATTAAACTACTAAAGTCTATCAGCGTCCATTTCATTGCATCAGCTGTATCTCATGGTTGGCCGTACTGTATTTTACTCTATTTGTTCTATAATTGATAGATTCTAGTAACCCCAAAACATCAATTACCAGATTTATTAACATTCTGTATATTAATTTTGTCCCCTAAATGGTGTTAAGTGAGCTTGTCTGTAGCCAGTTTACTCGAAGCTTGCAATTAAGGCCTTGAATCAGTTTGTAACAAGGCTGCTGATTGGTTGGCGGACTGACACCCGTAGAGCCACTGCAATTATTTTGCATTTATTTATTTATTTATTTATTTTTTTTTTTTAATAGATAAATACTTTTGTATGTTGGTCTCTGATAATTCCCACACTTATGGGTAAGCAAAAATTAAGATGAAGTTGGCGGAAACAGATTGGAGAACCTGACCCCATAACCTTTCAGAACGAGAAGAGGTAGATGAGGTAGATAAGATAGAAGAGGTAGAACAGGTAGAACAGGTAGAACAGGTAGAAGATGTCAGCCTTAATATGCATAGTTCGTGTTCTTCTTAGTGTTGGATGTCCATCTATCGACCAATAAGATGTGGCAGCTGTCAGTAGTGATCTCCAATGGTGTATTTATCCGTGCTTGCGTGGCATTCAGACTATGTACATTTATCTCACTTGCAAGGTGTTAGAGAGAGCCCTTACTGCCCCCATATGGCGAACATCAGCGTCCACATTAACCTAACCTAACATAACCTAACCTAACCACTGCTAACCTAACCTAACCAACCCCTATTTAAACTTAATCTAACCAAGCCTGACTTAACTTATTCTAAACAATCCCTAACTCAACCTTACTAATCCCTAACTAAAACCTAACCAACCCCAAATATACTCTAACTTAACCTAACTAAATTCAGAGCGTTAATATATCAAAACTCAGGTAAGGTTCCGAGTCTGGGTTCGGCATCAATTAGTCTCGTCCTTCTTAATTCACTTCACAGCTTACGACCTATTACTAAGTTCCGCGTGGAGATTTAAATTTCCCAACGGTGATATAACTTGTTTTCAACCCTCCCCCCATTGCCCCCTCCCCCTCATCCCCCCTCCCCTAATCTCCTCTCCTCTGCCCCTCTTGTTGTTTGGCGAATTTCTAATAATCGTAGAAGGTGGAGGTTATTTTCACCGTTCAAAGGGAAAGGTCAAGATGAAAACTGAAAATAAGTGACGCCAATAACGCGAATTATTTCCAACTGTTCAAAGCGGAAATCTCAGCTTGAAAGATTGAGCTGAATATTTTCTAGGGTCTGTGTTGTTTGATGGTGGACTTTTAAAACGCACTTGTAAAATTCTTGTGTGTTCGGGGTTGTGTAATTGAACGGCCGCCATTGCTGTGGTCTTAAGGAAGAGTAGGGATCAGGTGCGAACTATGTGTGTTGTCTTAAGGTTTTCCCTGCCGCTTCACCACCCAACACTGTCTCCAACACCCTGCCACCACACCACCCTATACTCCCTTCAACACAAGTCACCACCCTACACCTTTCCAACACACCTGATCCTTCCACCTGACACTCGACCGCCTGATGGGACGAGCACAGTCACCTTCAGTTACTCCTGAGAGAACATCCCCGAAGACGTGAAAATGAGACTAATTAGTGTGAGTAGTCCTTTAGAGCGGCCTGACAGACGCTGCTCTACAGTCTACACGAATACCTGGCTAATTAACTCCCAATAATAGCGTCTGGTGAAATACCTTCCACATACAAGCTACTGTGTTAATGAATGCCGACTAATCCCCCGTGTTTACATAAGTTCAGAAACCTCGATTGATGGTGATACTTAATCCTATTAATAAAAGCTGTGTGTGTGTACTAGCGGGGTCACAGGTACACTCATGGGTATAAATAGAGTTACAGGCGCAGTATACAGTACATAATTAGGCTCTTGAAAGAAGGGGAAATTGGAAACGGAAACAAACTCCGGTAACTTCTATTTTTTTTCACTAAAATAGAATATCAGAAGAGTCTTAACAAAGTTGACCTCGCTTAGTTTTCCGACACACTTCATCTCCCGTTTCTCCCCTCCTTCCTCGGGCCGTTTGTTGGCTCCGTGTACTGTTTACGTATTTATGATAGTGCTAGTCACCCATCGTGGCGGGGGGAGTCTGAGCAACGTGGCTACACAACCTCCACCACAACAGCTGAGAATAGAGTATGATCGAATATTCCAGTAGTTCCCCTTCCCTGTCAGTTTTCTAGGATCAGTGCAGTGGCCAGTGGAGCAAACTCTTACTGTTGTAGTGTTCGAGGAAGTAGTTCGTTACCTCTGTAATTTTTCTTTCGAGGATAATTAACGCCTTAAGGGTAGGAGATATCCAGGAAGCCCACAGCACCTTCAGCTAGATGTCACTTCTGAATTATTCTCTAAATTGCGAGGTTACAATCTTTACAACTACACCAAGACCAACACTCTCCTGACACTCTCTCTTTTCCTGATAAAGATTCATCCACAGTCACACTTATATAGTGACGATAAGTGCCCTTACTGACCTGACCCTGATGGAGAACCTTCTTGAAGAGGGCAAGCACGGAGTCAGGCTGGAGGGCGCAGCTCTCCGTGTAGCCGTGGTTCCAGTCCAACTCCACTCGTGCCTGAGCCGTCGCCCTGGTCACCGCTCGCCGGTTCTCCAGGTCACTCTTGTTGCCCACTACCACTATTGGTACTGAGGGACTCCTTAACCTCACGATCTGTTGGTAAAATGCAGGGGTTAGTGACTGGTGGTAATGACTGGTGACATAAGAGGCAGGGGTTAGTGACTGGTGACATAAGAGGCAGGGGTTAGTGACTGGTGACATAAGAGGCAGGGGTTAGTGACTGGTGACATAAGAGGCAGGGGTTAGTGACTGGTGACATAAGAGGCAGGGGTTAGTGACTGGTGACATAAGAGGCGGGGGGTTAGTGACTGGTGGTAATGACTGGTGGGACTCTTCAACCTCCTCATCTATCTACCTGTTCCTGTATTTGTGTCTTCATCTGTATCTGTGTTTACATATGTAATTACACGTGTATCTGTTCTAACAACTTCACATGTGCTTCCATCTCGATTCTTACTTGTAACTACACCTATACCGGTACCCTGTAAAGTGTAACTGTATCTTCAATTTTATTTGGAACCAATAACGTAAATTGTAAATCAAGGCGTCATGCGAGCGGATACAAACCCTGTCCACGAACCGTTGCCATGGCAGGATAAATATCCAACTAAAATAGTGACTAACTTACTGAAAAATAATGTAGTCACCATTATAGGCTATCTAATATTATTGTTTTCATTACACTTCGAAAAAACCTTATTACCATGACATCTGGTTAATTTTGGCACGATAATGCATCAAAACTTTATCATGAGGACACACACACACACACACACACACACACACACACACTACAACCCCAATTGACCTCCCAATCAAAATATACAAGGAGTTTGCAGTCGAACTTGCCACCCCCCTCTGTTCAATTTTGAATGCATCCTCAGACAAAGCAAATCCCCTAATGAATGGAAAACCGCCTTTATTACCCCTATTCCCAAGGTCCCCACCCCACAGTCCTCTAGTGACCTCAGGCTAGTTGCCATTACCCCCATACCCAGTCTACTCTGTGAAGACTTTATTTTTGAATGGGCATTTGCTAGTATTTATTAGTCAATTGATCCACAGCAATTTGGCAATATGAGAACCTCCTCTACATCAATGGAGCCCAAACACTGCTTAGTTATTTTCCTGGACTTCCTGCACAAAAAACTGGAGAAACGTAAAACATCACTGGCAGTTGCCCTTGTTGACTTCAGGAAGGCTTTTGACCATATTGATCACTGCACTATTATCAACAAGGCCATTGCACTAGGGCTGCCCACCAACCTGGTCTCATGGCTCACTGATTTCCTGAGTGAGCGTCGTCAGGCAGTGAGGTACCAGGGTTCTGTCTCCACATTCCAACACCTCACCTGCGGTGTTCTCCAGGGGACCAAGATGGGACCACTGTGCTTGCTCATCCTGATCAACGACGCTCTATCTGACACTCTTCACAGGTGGAAGTACGTGGATAACTGCACTGTGGGGGTTACAGTGGATAACACCTCACCGGACTACTCATCGTTACAAGGCACCCTGGACAGGCTACAGGCATGGACTAAGGAGAACAAGATTACCATCAACCACACCAAAACCGTAGTCATGCACATCAACACCGACACCACTCCAGTGCAAGCTCCAGCAGTTACAGTGGGTGCCCATCCTCTCCAGCTAGTGCAGTCTGCCAAACTCCTGTGTGTAACTATAGACCACAAACTGGACTGGAAGGCTCATGTAAACAACACAATCAAGGCAGCCTCGTAACGACCCTACATGCTACGACGACTCAGGTCACTTAGGGCACCCACGCCAGAGCTGAGGACTATCTACAAAGCATTTATTCTCCCAAAATTAACGTCTGCGTCACCAGCCTGGTCGTTTTCTCTCAACTCGACCCACCAACGTCAGCTAGAGAAGGTACAGAAGAGGGCCTGCAGAATCATGCTCGGCGCAGACTACTCCGGCTACAACAAACTCTCTCCACCCTGGAAATGCCATCCCTCAGTGACCTCCACCACCAAGCACTAGCAAGGTTTCGCAGTGGATTACTGCACCATCCCGTCATCGCCACCTACTGCCACCGGCAGTCCCCAGCAACCTCGCGTAGTTCGCCACTACAACAAAATTCAGCCCATAAGAGCCCGCACTGATAGATATAAGAATAGCACCATCCCATATATTGTTAAAATAATAAACAGCTCCTGATTTATGTACTGTACAGCCCTGTAAATGTATTGAAAGCATATTATTATGTCTAAATCGCATGTAAGTTTGTATATTTTCAGCCACCGGCTGCAACCCTATTAATAAACACACACACACACACACACACACACACACATGCGCGCGCGCGCGCGTAGTTGTAGGCAGGATAATAACCAGAGCAGGAGAACGAACGCTATAATAGTCGGTCAGACGCTGTGGCCGACTTTGTGTTGAAGCGTCAAACACAAACACATAGTTCGGAACAACTTCTCGCTTTCCTCTTTGTCAAAATGCAAGACGTGTCGAGCGTCCTTTACAACCTGAGACAGGCTGCTAGCAACACGCTCCTGAGGCTTTGTGTTTCAGTTCTCTTTCATATTCGCTGTCAGTCGGTGACAGAGACGGATCTAGGGGCATTCTTCCTAGTTGTTTCTGTATTGGCTTGTTTCATCTTGACATATCAAAGCGGACTGAGCAGTGCTGCTCTAACTTTACACATTTGTATGGTAATAACATCCAAGAACAAAGTGATTCCATTCAAGTTACAGCTGGAGGAATTTTCAAGTCTCGGCAAACAGCAGGGCACGTGGGAGGACCTTGAAGCAGCACGTTGGAGGACTAAATCATCCCCAGATGCCATAAAACACTCGTGTTGTCGAGCCTCCTGGTTATAATTCCACTAAATAGATACAAAGAAATTCACTCGAAAAAGGGACTCCACAAGAAAGAAGATTTAGAATGTCATTTGTATCACGTGAAGATTAAGCACCCCGACTCATTTCACCTACGGGGGTTAGGTTAGGTTAGGTTAGGTTCAGTAAGATTATTTTTAATTATCAGCTGAAATAAACTGTGGCGCTTAATCTTTAGGTGATCCTTGTTTTTTCGACCTAAACCTCAAGATCCGTCAACTTCAGTGATAATTTTGTGTCTTGAGGTGGAACATGAACCCTCGGAGTCCAATTAGTGAAATAGTTAAGAGTTGGCGGGTCGTAGGAGATCCAGGAAAGAGGAGGTGACACGGTTGAGGACGGTGTGGCGTATAAGTGTTTGGTGAATCATAGTATGGTAGTAGATAGGGTGTTGGTAGATTGTCATACAAGGAGTAGAAAGAATGGTAGAGAATTAACTGGTAGATTATCATATAGGAGTAAGTAGAACGTTGCTACTTTAACATACAAATCTAGGTAGAATGTTACCTTTGGAGACAAAAATGTTGTTAAAGCATTATGCAGTAGATGTAATGTGTGTGTGTGTGATGTCAAGGATAATGATGGCTGCTGTGGACGGGCGTCTCTACAGGAAAGTCGCTGATATATCCTATTACAAGGCTTTAACTGAGTTGATAATATAATCATTGCCTATAGCTCTTAAGTCCAAGCACAAAAAAAAAATTATAGGTAAGGTGGTAGAGAGAAGAGGTATAGCGGGAGGCTTTAGAGGTGGGGGGAAGAAACGGTTCACGGGATATGTGTTGGAGTATATGCTTTTATCATCCTCAGCCTCGAGGTATTGCTTTCAATCTTTTTAATTCAGTTTTCTGTGTGAGTAACGGTAGGATATTTCTTATTTTCTAGTTACGGTTGGTCAAAGTTCAGACTTGGTGTTACGAGATATAGCTGTTAACGTTTAAGTTTGAATAATTGTGTTATTGAGTTGAAACTTTTACAACAGGTTCTTGAACGACATATTGGGAGAGTTCATGCTTTTGTTCGATAGTGTTCACAGGTGATGACACAACACACAGGGTAACAGACGGGCTATATCTGTTAACACACACAGTCGTATGACCCTTGACATCTTCATAATAATTTCTTGATGCTGGTGGATGGATACCTCGTTCCTTTGGTTATTATCGTTCAGAGATCAAGGTAAGAGGCACACAAAGCGAAAGAAATAAACAGATAGACACTGACCTCTTCTCTGAGGGTGGGCAGGATTTCCCAGGAGGCGGCATTGTCGATGTTGTAAACGAGGAGGAAGGCGTCTGACTGCCTAATAGCCAACTCCCTCATGGCCGGAAACTGGTGGGAGCCGGATGTGTCCAATAGGTCAAGGATCAGAGTCTCGCCCTCGACTTCATACTCTCCTCGATGTAGCTCCTCCACCGTCGGTTTGTAACTGGTCAGGATCTGCAAGAGGAAGGAAGAAGGAAGACATTAGGATCTACAGGAGGAACAAAATATCACTTGTTCGAATCAGTAGAAGGATAAAAGTGAGAGACTTTTGATGTGGAGGAGAAATATTTGAACTCATTAAGAGCGACAAAGGAAAATTAATAAACGCGTAATGATGATGATGTGTGTGTGTGTGTGTGTGTGTGTGTGTGTGTGTGTGTGTAAACCTCCTCATTAACCTTAATGAGAGAACTTACCAATGTCAACTTTCACAGGCACTAGTCACCAGTTTGTTCGCGGTAAATAGAAGATTAATTACAACATTGTATAAAAGAGTTGATACTGATAATGCACGTGACTGAGGTATTGGAAGACATATTACAACCTGTGGCTTTGTTGTGAGGTAAACAATATGTAATTTAATGTAAACAATATGTAATTTACTTTATGCCAGAGACACACACGCATGAACAGGGGTTAGCCTTTTAGTTATTAAAGCGACACGACGATACAGTCCACTTCACAACAACTACACACACACACACACACACACACACACACACACACACACACACACACCAAGGAAAACTAGAAAGCTAATTAAAATAAGAAAAATAAATGTTAGAGGTAAAGGAGAAACAGAGAGTCTACCAATGACTCATTGCCTCAGTAAACCAGGAATTATCAGCTGAGGCATTGGACAGGTTCATGCTTATAATGTTGTTGTTATTGTTGTTGTTTTTATTACTGTTGTTGTTGTTAATGTTGTGCTTTCATTGTTGTTGTTGTTTTATTGTTATTATCGTTGTTGTTGTTGCTTTTTATTGTTGTTGTTGCCGTATTGTTATCGTTGTTGTTATTATAGTTGCTGTTGTTTTTATATCATAGTTGCTGTTTTTGTTTTTTGTAATTGTTCTTATTATTATTGTTATTGTTTTTGTTGTTTACGTAGGAGTAGGAGTAGGGTGAGTAGACAGCGAAGGAGACAGGGGAAGTGGAAGAAAAAATGAGAATGAAAGTGGAGAGGAAACGAAGGAAGGGGAAGAGAAGACTGAAGAGGAGACGGGGGATGCAATGAAGGCGAAGAAGAAGGTGGAAGAGATGGAGGAGATAGGAGAAGAAGACGAAGGAGGAGAGGGAGGAGGTGGAGGAGACAAGGGAAGACGGAGGAGGGGGGGAAGAGTAAGAGGAGGAGGAGGAGGAGGAAGATATCGTTCTGGGAGGCTCTACAACTTAATTATTGTTCTTCTATAGCCGATGGAATGACAAGGCAATATTTAGGAGACAGGCTGAGAGAGAGAGAGAGAGAGAGAGAGAGAGAGAGAGAGAGAGCAAAAATTTTATCCTAGCTTTTCAGAGAGTGAGAGAGAGAGGAGTCGAATCGGTGGTCCTAATTCGAATGAGTCTCTGTCTCCTCCCAACAATCGATTTTTTTTTTCACTTTCATTCAATTTGGAAGTTTAAAGAACTTACTATCAGCTCCCCCCCCCAACCCTTTGAGCCATTCCTACCCTCCTCCCCTCGCCCCCTACCACAGCACCCTCCTTATCACAGCAACCCCCCCCCTTCACCTCGGCCAGCTCCTCAGAACAAGCATTGATCACATTACGCATCAAAGGAACCCAGAATGACGGGTTTTACTTGACGATGTTCCGAAGTTGACCTTATGAGGTTTTCCTGGGCTTCTCAACCTACCATGTGCTTTGTGTTCTCTCTTGTAGGTTCGTCTCTTAAGCTAATGTATAGTGCATGCGTGTGTATTTTTCAGCCTGGTGTAGTGGTGTAAGTGTGTATGTATTTCCTACCTGGTGTATTGGTCTATTTCCTCACCTAAATTATGTATATATTTCCCCCAGCTAGTGTATGTGTGAATGTTACCGCAATTAGTGTGTGTGTGTGTGTGTGTACCTCGCGAAAGGTGTTTGATGAAAGTTTCGAGATTTCATTTTTCTCTCCATATCTCAAGTCTCGGTCTCGGGCGCATAGGTTAGGTCGAGCCGTTTTGAGACCAGAAATCTATTTATTGATTTCTGATCTGCTGGGAAGAAGTTGTTAGGTCTGGGTTCAGGTAGGAGCAGATACCTCACCGTTAACCTATACCACCTGGGCCTGGGGCAATTTGACCATAATTAATGATATCTTAACATAAGAACATAAGAATGGAGGAAACTGCAGCGGGCCTATTGGCCCATACTGGGCAGTCCCTTTTACACCCAACCCCTATCGCTCATATAAGCATCCAACCTATGTTTGAAGCTATCCCGGGTATTCGAGTTAATGATGATATTTGGTAACGTGTTCCATTCATCCACTACTCTGTTTCCAAACCAGTGTTTACTTATTTCGCGCCTAAATCTAAATTTGTCTAATTTAAAACCATTGTTACGAGTTCGCTCCTGGTTGGATAATTTGAGTACATTTGTAATGTCCCCTTTGTTTAGCCTTGACTTCCATTTATACACCTCTATTATGTCGCCCCTCGCTCTACGTCTCTCGAGGGAGTGCAAATTAAGATGATTTAACCTGTCTCTGTACTCAAGGTTCCTAATGCCCGGGATTAGTCTTGTCATTCTCCTCTGGATTCCTTCCAAGGATTCTATATCCATTCTGAAATGCGGTGACCAGAACTGAACTGCGCAATCCAGGTGAGGTCTCACAAGCGCAAGATATAATCTTAAGATGACCTCGCTAGTCTTGTAACTAACACTCCTTTGTATGAACCCATGTACTTTATTAGCCTTGTTATGAGCAAAAACACATTGTTTATTTGGCTTAAGATTCCTACTTGTCATTACTCCTAAATCTCTCTCGCAGTCGGATTTCACAATGGCATCGTTGTTCATCTGGTAACTGGTTTCCCTGTGTACATCTCCTATACTGAGTACTTTACATTTGCCCACATTGAATTTCATCTGCCATTTTTCAGACCATTCGAAAAATTTGTATAGATCTTCCTGTAGTTTTGCGGAGTCATCATCAGATTTAATTACACGTCCTATTTTGGTGTCATCAGCAAATTTACTTATGTTGCTGTCTATGCCGATATCTATGTCGTTTATGTATATAATAAATAATAATGATCCAAGTACTGAGCCTTGGGGAACTCCACTAGTGACGTTGCTCTAATGGGATTTAGTGCCATTAATGCTCACTCGCTGTTTCCTGTCCTGTAACCACGCCCGAATCCATTTTAGAATATTCCCGTTTATGCCATGTGCTTCTACCTTTCTTAGTAGTCTTTCGTGGGGGACTCTGTCGAAGGCTTTGCTAATGTCGAGATATACCACATCGTAATTGTGCCCCTCGCCCACCGATTCGAAAACTGCTGAAAAGAATGTTAATCGATTAGTTAGACATGAACGCCCGCTTGTGAATATTGATCAATTTGTGCTTCTCCAGGTGGTTTCGAATATAGTTTGAAATGATTGCTTCCAGTAATTTGCCTACAATTGATGTTAGACTGATTGGACGGTAGTTAGAGGATAGTGATCTTGGGCAGTTTCCTTAGGCCAAATGACTCAAGTAAGAGATGTGACCCCCCATTTCAGTTCTGGCAACAGTACAAGTTTCCAGCACTGTTCAATCTGGCACTGGTCATTGATCTGCATAAGACCCAAGAAAAGAGATCCAACCTCCCTTTTGACCTGATCTAAACTCTCTCTCTGTGTGACCCATTTCTGAGGTTCTTAAGGTTCAGTGAAGGTTCCCAGACCAATCAACACCTCAACAGGCCGCGGCGCTGACTTTTAAACTAATTTGTGACAACTAGACACCGTTGTGGTGAGTCTACCTACACCTGTCATGCACCTGGAGGAGGTATTAGGGAAAAATAAGTTCTCTGGGTGATTTATGAAGCTCCAGGTAATTTACGATGTATTCAGGTAAGGTCATTAATGATGCCTTCAGGTGACTAATGATGCCTTCAGGTAATTACAGGAAAGTGACTAATATAACGAAGCCTCTCCTTATGTAGACCAATTCATAGCCAAGGAAACTCAAATTAATACACCCCCCTCTCCCCCAGGCCTCACTGTTTAACTAACTTGTTACCTCGACTGACCAATTAACCAACTTCTCCGAATATTGGACTCCAGTTGACACACTTCAGGTGCTATGATCTAGTTCGGCCAGCTGTCCCCCCAGGCCAGAGACACCATCTGGCCCAACTCCAACAATCATCATCACAGTTCATAATGTATTGTGAATGTAACTCAAACGTGTAGAGAAGGGGAGGTTAATGTGTAAATAAGAGCAATAACAATGTGTGTGTGTGTGTGTGTGTAGGGAAGGAAGACACGCTTACCTTATCGTAAAGGAACTGTGAAACGATGGTGGACTTGCCCACTCTAGCGCCGCCCATGAGCGTCACTTGATACCTTCTCTGTGGGTCCCCGCCGTCCACCTGCACCTTCGGCGCCTCACCCATCCTCCTACAGTCGCTGGGCATCTGAGGGAAGACAGAAGTCACGTTTAGCATAGTGGGGGTCAGGGGGCAGATGGGTATTACAGCATAAGTCAAATTTCGTAAAACTGGGGTAAGAATGTGATTGCAAGATACAAGTAGTATTAAATAAACCACTATTTTCATCAGAACGAAACAAAATACAGTCGAATGAAATTGAATTTCATAGAATCAATTCATCCCTGTTCCTTCATCTATCAGTTAACAATATGTGTTCTCCCTTTCATCAAGTTACGTAACCAAAATAAATTACGTGAAAATTAAACACCCAGTTTATTTCACCTGATGATGAAACACTCTAACCTAACCTAACCTAACCCCCCTCCCCCACCCCCCTGTAGCATTAGAGTGTTTAATCGTCAAATTATCAGACGAAATAAACTGGGGTGTCTAATCTTCACGTGATCCAGATAACTTAACACCAAATAGAGGTCACTAACTATGCTACGGTATAACAGATATATCCGTCTTTAAAAATCTACATCTGTGGCTCATCCTTCACGTATATAAATTCTTATAATGGCGCGGCTGAGTCTCGATACATCAGTTTAAGGGAGATATTTTTTTTTTACTTTCCCTCCTGCAGCTGTTGTTTATGGTGATGTAAGCCCGACACCTGAGCCTGAGGGCACCTGAGGGATACATACACGTTTAGCATTACCTCACACACCTGGTTGGACACATAACTCCTTGTCACTACAGCTGGGAGAGATACATACATCTTGCAGCAAAACTTAAAGGTGATACGCATCTCCACCTGTACTATTCTTCCTCTACCTGTACTTCCACTGTGTTAATTAACGCTTATCCACCTGTACCTGTTATCTTACGTAATTAATAAAATCACATTAAATTACAAACTCGACATCAAGGAAAGTAAACATGACCTCAGAATATTACCAAACATACTAAACAAATGTACCTAATTATTAATGCAATAAATTAAAGGTAATTATGACAGGTAATTATCAAAAGCAAACACGTAATTTACAAAGCTGATTCTAATAAGCTTATCGCATCATTACCGCAATAGAAGATCCTTTCCTGTTAATGACTCTGTTACATAGTTAACTAGTAAATAGACTTAATAATAATAATAATAATAATAATAATAATAATAACCAATAAAAGTGAAGCATGACAAAAACTAACGATATTATTCTTTTCTTCAATGAGGCTGATCAATACTAACGAACAGATAATTTCTCACAACGAAACAAAAACAATAACAAATTAACAACAATAATATTTTTTTCAAGCACATTACAGGCCTAAAGGTAAAATACTCCTGGAAAATATTACACAACGATAATAATTCACCATCAAAGTAATTAAAACCCTCATCTGGAATACCTAAAAAAATTCAGGTACTCTCAAACTTAATTACTCGAAATAAAAAATATAATGAAAATTTAACCTGTATCGGAATTCCAGGAAAGAGCTCACTTAAATAATAGTAATAATAATGTGTTTTTTAATAGTGTTTTAATACGTGTTTATTCTACTAGGTGACGTTTTTAACCAGGTTATAATTAAATTTAACGTGAAATGATTGTAGTGATGATGTTAACTTGTGTGTGTGTGTGTGTGTGTGTGTGTGTGTGTGTGTGTGTGTGTGTGTGTGTGCGTGTTTGAATTTGATACGTGTGTTTTTTTTATGTATAGGAGAGTGTATATTTGTTGATCTTTTCTCTCCTTTCTTCACTCGCACACGCACACACACACACACACACACACACACACACACACACACACACACACACACACACACACACACACACACGCGCGCGCGCGCGCACACTAAGGAGGTAGGTGGGTGGTAGTGTTAAAAATAGATAATATAATTACTAAGAACGAGGCTAGGGGAAAGGTTATAGGACGAGAATAGAACCCAAGGTATACTCCTGTGTCTGTCTATCTCTCTGTCTTCCTCTGTGTCTGTCTACCACTGTGTCTGTTTATCTCTCTGTCTGTCTATCTCTCTGTCTGTCTATATCTCTGTCTTCCTCTGTGTCTGTCTGCCACTGTGTATATATATTCTACTTTATACATCTATCTAACAATTCTTCTTCATTTATCTATACATCTACTAGGTTGGGTGAGGTGACCAGCCAGCAAGCACTTCACCTCAGCACCACGAGTCCCTCACACGCAACTGGTTTAGCATCTACAGTAGTTCTCACTGGGGTAACTTAGTATATTCCACATAGATCTAGTTTTCTCACACCACACTCTTGTTCAATTTAGTTTTAACTTTATGTGTTTGTTTAAAATTAGGTTTAATAATATGCCAATACTGGTTTACCTAGCATTATTAGGTGTAACTAGTTTTGCCTAGTAAATACTATATGTATCATAAAGCCTTTGAGGCCTCTAGTTTTAACTCGCTAAAACTAATTTTGACTTATTTCGGGGTTTAACTGTAATTCACACACACACACACACACACACACACACACACACCAGACAGGTAAAATTAGATACTTTACATACTGTAGTGTACAGTACTGCACACACCAGAGGGCAGGTACACGTCTTCACATGACAACCAAGCTACTTCCCATTGACCAACATATGTTATAAAACCTGTGTATATCTCACAGGGTTTACTTTAACTCAACCTTCCTTGTATTTCTTACACACGTGGCTGTTTTTACCGAGTCAAGAATAGGAGAAGTATAGGAGATGGTGTGGGAGTTAAATATTAGTCAAGTGTGAGTCAGGTGTGAGTTAAGTGTGTCAGATATAAGTCAGATATGAATTAAGTGTGAATCAAGTGTGAGTCAGGTGTGAGTTATTAATCAAGTGTGAGTTAAATGTGAGTCAAATGTGGGTTAAGTGTGAGTCAGCTGCGATGATGAGGGAGGAGAAATGGAGACGTAGAGACAGACTGAGAGTGACGCCGCTGAGAGAGAGAGAGAGAGAGAGAGAGAGAGAGAGAGAGAGAGAGAGAGAGAGAGAGTGGAACGAGGGCGAAAAACGATAAGAGGCTTCAACAATTCCTGGAAGTGAATGAAGGAGGGAGAGAGAAGGGGAGAGAAACGAATGAAGAGAGATAAGGAAATGGATAATGATGATGGTGATAGACAAACGGGACAGAGAAAGAAAGAGAGAAAGAGATCAAGAATAATAAAAATACAAAGAAATAGAGACGCAGACAAGAAAATTTGAAGAACATGGTCGAAAAATAATTAACGTTTCCAGGAAGGAGGTACAAGAGAGAGAGAGAGAGAGAATAAAAGATGAGAGATAAGTATTTCAGAGTTACAAAAAAGCGAATGGGGAAATGGGAAAGAAAGGAGGAAGAGGGATATTATGGAAGAGGGGAGAGACTTAAATAAATATTTGGTGAACAATTATTTTTTCCATTACCTTCCTGTCAGTTTACTCTTTACATCTTCACCCGTCACATCTTCACCCGTCAAATCTCCACACCCGTCACATTCCAACTGCCACACATCTTACCGTAACACATCTACCAACACATTGACCTCTCTCCATCTCACCAACTTACCATCACCCCCCAACCCCAACCGTTACCCCATCACCACCCCCAACCGTCACCCCAACCCCCAACCGTTACCCCCATCACCACCCCCCCAACCGTCACCCCAACCCCCAACCGGTTACCCCATCACCACCCCAACCGTCACCTTAACCGTCACCCCCAACCGTTACTCCATCACCACCCTAACCGTCACCCTTAACCGTCACCCCCAACCGTTACCCATCACCACCCCTAACCGTCACCCCCGTCAACCGTCACCCGTCACCTCACCGTCACCCGTCACCTCCACACGACGCTCCTTCATGATCACTTACAACCACGATCAAAAACATTGCTTCTTTTGACAACATTAAATCTTTTACCTAAAATTTAAGCTTTTTCGTTTAAAAATATTTATATTAAAAAAAAACACGTGATAACTCAGGCGAATGGCGATGAAAGTCTTTGATGTTTACAGTTGTCCAAAAGGTTTCCAGTTTTACACATATCTTAAATACACGTTTCCAGGTTTCTAAAAAAGACCAATAGAGTCAATAGACGCTACCAGTTTAAAGAACGTTGCAATACGCGTCTCTAGTTTAACGAAATTTTCAGTTGATGTTTCCAATTTTACGAAAATAATTCAACTTTGACACCATAACTATTTTCAATGATTCTGTGACACTTAGGTAACGTACAAAGTTTTGAATTATGTATGTATGTATGTATGTATGTATGTATGTATGATGGAAACTAGGTAGCCTACTCAGCTCGTTCAAGGAACGAGTTATTCATTATATTTATTCTTTCTCATTTTACAAGTGTTATGTTAGGTTTGTATTATGTTTTGTTGTGTTATGTATTGTTGTAGGTTATATAGTACATTGTAGTATTGTAAATTATTTGTGTCAATGTTTACATTCTTCTGGTGAGTAATAAACAACCTGTCAACTCTGTGAGGTTAGTTGGTAGGTCTACCAGTGGCTGTCACTGACTCACTCCCTTGGCTTCTTGACCTGCTGTTGTTCTGACTGGCTCTGCCCTGCCCTGTGTACGGGTATTCGGTGTCTCTGAGCGTTTTGTGTTTGTGCTACTGAGTGGTCACCTCACAGCTAAGTTTACTTTGTTTATATGGATTAGGAATATAATTATAATGTGTATTGTGATACGTAACACTTATTCCATGTGCTAGTTCTCAGTTATACTTGATCTACTTTAATTTTCATCTTTCTGTGTATAAAGTGTAGATATGTTTTAATATTCAATATATCATAGCAGTTTATAGAGTATTATGAATATTCCCGTTCCCCGTTTATCTTCCATTGTGTTTCATGTCGTGGAACATTAAAATAGCTCCTAGATATGTATGTATGTATGTATGTATGTATGTATGTATGTATTAAAGTGCCCGCGTGTGTGTGAGAGTATAAACCTACCCTCTTAACTCCTTCTATATGTCAGAGCACCACCAGCATATATCTCTATCTACGTGT